ATACAGTTCAGTCTATTCTCATTCATTTCAACAAAATGTTTGGCAACATTTTTCAGTTTAATTTAATCAGTTTGCTTTTTGTATATCTGAGCAAACATGATGTTGTTTAGGTGATAAACACGATGTTGATTAGGTGATAAACACGATGTTGATTAGGTGATAAACATGATGCTTGCTTAGGTGAAGAAGTATTTTTAAAGAAAAAATTAATTTACAACATATAAATTATTTCAAGTGAAAAAAATATATATCGAAGACCTGAACTAAGGCAATTTTAAGAAAAGCTTATAAACATGGACAAATGATAAAAATTATATACATATTTTTTAAATTTTATACCCTCTTTATTTGTTTGTTATTATTTGTATTTTAAATATATCTAAATTTAAATTTATGAGCACTTTCACACAATTTATTACCAAGTATATTCGAACTTCGTTATGATCCGCACGGACTCTATGAAAAGAATATGCTGGTATTATGCTAGGGGCATCGGCCCGCCGATGCATCGACTTTTTTTTATAACCGTTATAGCCGATATTTTATAGCCGTTATAGCCGATGATATATAGCCATCGTTATAACCGATGCATCGATTGTTTTGAAAAAATATATTTGTTTTTATTTTTTTGTTTCTATATTGTATGTAAACATTATTATGCCTATAAAAGTTATATAGGCATACCAGAAACCAATAAAATTTTCAAATTGTTTTTTGAACAGTTTTTTATCAGGGGCTCTCACTCAAATAGCGTCTTTTAATAATTTAAAGCAGCAGTTGTATGACTTATGGGTCTAAATTCTACAAAGATTAAAGTATACAATCAAAACATGTTTAAAAAAAGTTTAAAAAAAAATTCAACAATTTTAAAAAGTATAAACAAAGTATAGCATAATTAAAATATAACAAAACAACTGGCGTTATGTTAAAAATAGGAGAAGCTGGATAGAAGTGAGCCAATGGTAGGAATAAATCATTGATTCTATAGCTAAAATGGGAAAAAAAAAGACTCCAATTTTCACGAAGTAATAACATACAGATTTTTACTAAGACTACTAACATTTTTTACCGGTTCTTGGTGCGGGTGTTTGTGTTAGCAGTGTAATCAACTCTTTGTGGGCAAATAATATTTTAGTATTTTGCACATTTAATGCTTTAATCCAGTTGCACAGCTTGAGGAGCAATGAGCCATTTCTTCAAATATAATGCTGCTATTTATTATTTTAAGTTTATCTTTTTTTTACCATTTTAATTACTTGCTTTATTGTTAAGATTTAATAACACAAAATGCATGCAAATTTTTTTTAGTGTTTTTAAATAATTGATAATTGTAAAATAATTCACTATTGTTACATACTACTAAATTATTATAGGCTTAAATTTTGTTACTTGCCAAATTATCACTTAATCAGTTTAAAACAATAGTAAATTTAATTTTCAGGGGAATAGAGCTAATTTTGCCCGGTAAAACAAATTATTTTTAAATAACTTCATTTCAAAAATATTTAACCAAGTAGCAATAAATCATTCTGCTTGGTACTAAATACTAAATAATTTTTATAAAGTATTAAATAATAAATTCAAAGTATAAATTATATATTGATTTAAGCTAATGAAAAAAGTCAATAAATTTACGTTTCGATTAACCGAGTACAATTATTTTATCACAGGAACGTTCAAAACGCCACACTTTTGATTTTCCGACCCGGACAAATGTCAGAATAGACCAGCCCTAGATTGGGCACTGCATCTAGCTACTTTAGGCTAATTATCCTATATTTTTTCCAATTTTGGTTTCCTTGATATACTCGATTTAAAAAAAGTGGCTTACTCCTACCTATCTTCCCCTACTAAATGACTTTTCACTAAACACAGAAGAAGGCGGTGCTCCTAGAAGTTTTTTGCTAAGAACGACAGGTTTAAAATTTTACTAAAGTTAAAAATAATCCTAGGTTACCTATTTGTGAAAAATAAAAGAGTACAAACTTAAACTTAGGGCCGATGCCCATGCATCGGCATCGGCCTGTACTCATTGGTTTCAGCATTGGCCAAAAATAGGCATTGGTGCACCCCTACATTATGCCCTCAATATCCTTTTTGAGCCCTTATTCGTTTATTCCTAATGTATTTGTAGTTTTACTTTAATTTAGGTGATATATATATATATATATATATATATATATATATATATATATATATATATATATATATATAGAGTACTTTATATGGCTGTGAAAATTCGTTTCATTCGATTTTTATCAAAAAATAAATGAAATTTCCTTTACTCTTCCATTCAAATGCAAAAAGGCTTGTTTTTATCCCTAAAGCGTTTTCTTAACTGGAAGAAAAGTTTAAACAAATATAGTTTTTTATTCATATAAATTATTTTACTGAATAAATATTTTACTGAGAATTAGGAACACAAATTCTTGCTGCTTGTAGGATAAGTATTAATATTTTATGCTTTTGCAGGCAACTAAAATAACAAACAGATAATTCTCTGGAATCAAAAAATTGTTGAATTGCCCTTAAAAAAAGCAATTTTTATTTGAAATTGCGAAAGAAATTTCAAAAATAAAATTCATGCAACGCTTTTTAAGCTATGCAAAAATGTAAAGAATTCACCACTTTATAGTTTGATAGTAAATAAAACAGCTTTTATGTCTACCATAAAACAAACTTCAATCTGAATTTAACACGTTAATAAAGAATTAAAGATCCAGGAGTTTTTTAAGAAATTTTATCATACGAAAAACGAGAATGGTAAAACTTTGATAATCTGTTTGATTAACAAAGTTGTATTTTGCGTCACTTTAGCCCGTTGATCCTATATAGTGCTACATTTTTTGAACAATTGTTTAACATGTCTGAAAGGATCAATAAATTGCCAGTTTATCGCAGGAGCGATTCTACGAAAAAAATGGGGGTGGTTGGGGGTGAATCCTTAAATTTTGCGACTACTTTCCCAAAATAAAATACAAAAAAGGTCCTCAAAACTCCGAATGGGCGACTAATTCATGAAAATACCGAACAAATGTTTAAAATTTACTTCTTGGGGATGTTTTATCTTGCTTTAAATTACGTCTCCGAGCTGTTAGAGGGGAATAAGCCGTTCCCCCTATGGAAAAAAATTGCAATGCATTTTGGTCCTTGTATTCACTAAAAATAAACAAATAAGAGTTTATAAATAAACGGTAAAGTAATTTAACTTTAAAAAACTTTTCAAAATGATTTCAAACTATAAAATATCTTGGGATAAACTCACTCTATTAAAGAAAGAATTACTGTTTAGTCAACAGCAAAAACAAAATACCGCGGTGACATAACTTGTTGTGTTCCATCCTGCAGCAAATAACAAAAACTTATTATTTTACATCGTCCTAAAGAAAATTTAAAAAAAAAATGGGTTTTATTTCTAAATCTTTAATTAGTAAAAAAAACTTTGTTCTTCCTATTTCTCACCGGATATGTCCACTTTACAGGATGACTTATATAAAAAACTGTCAATCTTTACTGCCAAAACAAGTTAAAGACAACAACAAAAAAAACAAGAATCTGAGTAATTAGTTCTATTGGATATAAAAATTTTTTTTTTTTCTTCGCGCTTTAAACTTTCTTCGCGCCATAGACTTTCTTCGTTCCATAAACTTGTAAATTGTAATAACGTAGCTCTTTCCAGTCTTTATTCTCTTTTTTGATAGAAGTAAATATTTTGACTATACTGAACAGCCTCATCAGCATCTATTTGATTAAACGGACTAGTTATTTCTCGAAATAATAATTGGATAGTGATTGATATATCTTTAAAAAACATAAATCAAAATCAATAGTCTTTTAATCAATAGCAATTTAATATTCCAAATTAATTTCATAGCTATCAACCTTATTTATTGCTGAGATGGTGATATGTTTTGATAATTTGTATATTTTTGGTGAGTAGAATAACCAAAATGAATTGCGGTTTTTTTCTATAGATGGAACGGTCCATTAACAAATTTGAAATAATAAATTGCAATCAGCGTGTCTTTTTTTAAATACTGAAAATTCAAAGGAGCCATTAATCTTTAAAGAAGTTTTATTTACGAATCATTTCTACGCAGTCTTTTAGTTATAAAATATCCAAACTTCTATAGCTGGTTGATATCAAATTTTTTTAGAATACGATTTTATTACGATATTCCGTCAGGTCAGGTTATTCCGTCTCCGTCGGGTCAGGTTATCCTTACGTTAAGTCAGGTAATCATGCTACTGGTAACATGTAATCCAGTACAACCTGCTTCATGTTAACATCAGGAAGGGCATCCGGTTGTAAAACATTGCTTCAATTCTTTCATAATGGCATTTATGTTATTATGAAAACCGTCCAAGCCACACAAGTGTAGAAAAATGGATGATAAACTTAAAAAAAAAAAAAATGATGCTAGCTACATTAGCCAGTGGGTCTTTAGCTTATTAAGCCACCTGCCCTCGTGGCGAAATTGCTGTCTTTATCTTTACAAATATCGACAGTTATTTGCTAGCTTATAAAGCTAGTAATCCTCGTCGCTAAATTCCTGTCGTTATTGTTACAAATATAGCTAGTTATTCGCTAGTCGATTTCCCACCGTGAGTTGGGAAATTTTCTGCGTGAGTTTAAAATAATTTCATATAAAGTTAAATTTTGTGAAGTATGTTTATAGTTAATAATATACTATATTGTATATATGTATATATATATACATATATATATATAAATAGTGATGTATGTATATATATATATATATATATATATATATATATATATATATATATATATATATATATATATATATATATATATATATATATATATATATATATATATATATATATATATATATGTATAAATACATACACCACCCTTGCTCTCAACGACTCATATATATATATATATATATATATATATATATATATATATATATATATATATATATATATATATATATATATATATAAATATAGAAATAATTAAAACTATATACCTGAAAGATTTTGTTGAACTTGACTTATATTGCTCTAAACTTACTAGTCTCACAAAGCTATTAGTAACAGACGCCTTTGGATGCATGAATTATTATATTATTTATAATTTAACGCATAAATCCTTATTTATTCATTAGCTTAATTAATTAATAATTAGCTATTATTCAAGCTATTATATATTCATGTGGTTTATACGAGTTTCTCAGAATTTTAAAATTCAGAGAATAATAATTATTTTATTTTATTTTATTTTAAAGCTATAAAAATTTATAAATATTTTGTGTTAACCATTTGTTTTATGTTTTTGTTTACAAAAAAAACCATTGACACATAAATAAATGTTTTTCTTTTTTCATTTAGACGAAAACAATAAATACATCGTGTTCCATAAACAATTTTACTCGATAATATTTTCTCTGTTATAATATTTGAGTTAATTTTTTTTCTTTCGAAAAATAAGAAAGGTTCGAGTTAAACGTTGTCAACTTACCAGGAATGAACTATATCTAGATAGACATATTTATTTTTCAGCGAGTCTAGTTATATACCGCAGTTATGTAGTTATATACCGTAAATGAAGGGTTGCCAGATACGCGGTCACCTAAAGCAGGACAAAGGAGTACAAATTTTAGTAGTACCTAATAATGGTAGTTTTTTAGGATTTCAGGGCTCGAATGGCCGGTTAGTGGGTGCATATGTGGGTGTTGGGGGGAAGGGGGTAAACTAATTTAATGAAAAGGGGTAAACTAATTTAATGATGCTGACACTTTGTTTAGGTTTTTATGTTTCTCACTGTTAACATGGTAATACTCTAAAGTAGAAATTAAATTTATTTTATAAAGAAAACCACAATTTTAGCCGATTTTGATGAAGATGGGTGCAGGCCAACACCGATGCATCGGCACTAAATTTAAATGATTAATAATTTTCTTTTCTCAAAAATAGGAATATTTTCGAATATAATAAAACTTTAAACTTCTCGTATCTAGGAAGAAAATATTTAGGAGCTTCGCCTTCTTTTATGTTTAGTGAAAATTATCTAGGGTTGGGAGAAATATCTACGAATTAACACGGACTAAACTAACTGCGGAGCATGGAGAACAATTAGCAATTGTCTAATTATTTAATAAAAATTAGAAATTTTTCGGAGATGAGAAAATAAAAAATAATCTTTCAATATTGCATATTTTATTACATTGCATAACTGTTATGCAATGTAATAAAATATGTAATATAAAATTAAAGATTAGGTTTTTTATTTTTATATCTCCGAAAAATTTCTAATTTTTATTAATTTTAATAATGTTAAACCTTATAAAAATTAATGTTTACATTTATTATGTTTTAATATTTAATTTGATGTTTATAACAAATCGCCATATGTTATTAAATACTTAATGTTTATATAAATTCACATTTCTTCATTTTGAATCTTCTCACTTTTTAAAGTTCGGATCCGTAAATCATTGCTGTTTTAAATTATAAAAAAAACACTAAAACTCACTCGGTAAATTTATTTACCGTTTCCGATCAAATTTAAAAAAAAGTTTTTTTTAAATTTGATCTAAAACGGTAAATAAAATACATCATAAAATATAAAGTCTCCATATGTCACCCGGTCTCAAGTTCGAAAAGTATCTTTTTTGATTGATTAAGTTTGAATCAGTGATATTTTTGTTCGGAAAATAATTTTAGTTTTAGTTTTTATTCAGTTTAGAGGCAAAGTTTTTAGTTCTAGTTCTTATTCAGTTCAGTAAATAAATTTAGTTCTAGTTTTTATTCAGTTCATCTTAAAATAATTTTAGTTTTAGTTTTTATTTAGTTCAATTTTCGTTTGTCGTATAAATTTTTTATCTCATCTAATTATAATTTAGTATAATTTATAAATAATATAGGCATATATAATTAAAAGAAGTAAGTCTTAGTTCTATAAACAAACAAAAAAATGAGAACTTAATTAAATGTAATACACCCAGTCCCATGGCTAGAAGTTTAGAGCCCCGTCCACTGCCCTTAATAAAAAACACAACAACAACCTGTTCTTATTGCTCTAAAACTTAAAAAAATTTCAATTATTAGGTATAAAAAAAACTCCTCAAATTTGGTAACAATAAAAACTAATGAATAGTTATTGTATAGACTTTAATAATTACTCATATGTTTTACAAATAAAGGGCCTAGTGTTTATATGATTATCATCTAGACTAGATGAGAATTTAGTTTTAAGAAAACTCGCATTTCCAATGACGCTGACATTCGATTTCTCCGTCCATTTGTGAGCAAGCCACAGATTGAAAAAAGTCTTTCAACATATGCTTGAGTTGCAGGAGCTGCAATGAGGTCTTCAGCTAATGGTGCAATATGTGGATAAACAGCACGTCTCATCTTCCACAAATTTAAAGCATTTTGGCACATAGAGCTGTTCCTTATTTCAATAAAATATTTGTTGAGTTCATTTTGTGCTTCATTACCTGGAATAAGCTTTATTTTTTCTACTCGCTGTTTTGCCGCTAAAAATTTCCATTTTGTTAATCCATTTATTTCTGGAGCAATCTCAACAGAAAGAGTAGATGCACTTGCTAAAGGTAAATTATGTTGCACCGATTTTTTAGCCTCTGACAAAATGTATTTCTTTGCACACTCTCTGATTTGTGTATGCTCATTACCTAAAAGAGCTATTGCACATGTGGGGTCAAGTAGACATGCGGCACATGGCAGTGGATTAAAATTAGGATCGTTTGGCTGCAAAAGAACGGCAAAACGACGGCGTAGATCTTCAAGCATTTTAACTGCTACATCTTTGGCATCTCCAAATTGCTCAAGGTGACATTCTAAATTAAGTATTGAAGGTATAACACTGGATAGTGAAAGTGCATCCGTCTGAAGAATATCAGTTTCATTGGCAAAAGGTTCTAAAAGATTGACAAAATCCTGAAGCATTATCCATTCGCTATTGGCAAGTGAATCAATGTTAAGGTCTCCAAGCACTTCGTTGATAGATGTCTTTATTTTCAGAAATCTCCGAACCATAAAGTAAGTGCTGTTCCATCTTGTAGAACAATCGCTGATCACAGTCTTACCACATTTGTTGATAATTTTTTCCAATGCAACAGAAGATTTGCGAACTTTTCCCACTAATCCACGTACCTTCAAAAGTAAGCAATGATATTTACCATCATATGCAAGTTTTACAACTAACTGTATAACATGTGCAATGCATCCCAATCTTCTAAATGCTACGTTTTCTATTACATCAACTATCAAGTCAACATGTTCCCACTCTTCACTATTTGTCATATTCTCATCGTCTTCCAGATCTGTTATCTGCTCTTCATTAACCTCACTTTCTAATTCAATAAGTATATCACGTTCAGCTTGAGCTTTCATTCTCGACAACTTTATGCCTTTGACCATGTTTGCTCCATTGTCCGAAATAACAAGCAATATTTTTTCTCTGGAAATATTCCAATATTTTAGGCATTTTTCAAAACAATTAGCAATTTGTTCACCTGTATGTGGATGTTTCACAAGATACAAATTAAGCAGAGCATGTATTGGTTTTTCGGATTTGAAGTGAAAAAAACAAACCGAAATTCCTAAAAAGGACGCAGTAAGACCTTTTTTAGTCCAGCCATCAAGGCAAATTGTGAAGCGCCTGCCAGATATGAAGTCACGAAGTTTTCTCGTTAAAACAGTAAATTCTTCATTAAGTAGGCTAGTAATTTTGGCAGAAGCAGGCAATGAAAATTTATAATCCAAGGTATTAACTAACGTTCTAAAACTCGCATTATCCACCAATGTCACTGGATTACATGTTGCAATTATCATTTGAATAAGAGAGTTTAGTCGAATTTTATGCTCGTGTGAATTAATAGGCCATGCGGTATTCCTAAGATTAATGCATTGAATCAAGGTCTGGTTCTGATTTGAGGACGATTCTAAAAGAGTGGGTCCATTTTCATCCACTGCTTTTCTCTTTATCCCTGTTTGCTTTTTTTCACTTAATTTCTTTAATTCCGACTCTTCCAGCTCAACGTGTACAGACTTATGGTTTCTTGCTAAATGTAGCAAATAAAAAATTAATTATTTATATAATTTAGCCGTACAAATATTTACAAGTTCCGTAATTTAAAATATTTAAAAATGGCAAGGACGAGAAGAAGACGGGGTTGTCTTATCACCAAGTCCCTTGTTTGTCTAGACATTTATATAAATACAAAAAAGCAAAATATTACAAAGAAGTTTATATAAAATGCCAAATAGTTTAATAGTTCAAAGTTTTGAAAGATATTTTTTCGATTTTATTTTTTGAAAGAAAAATTTAAAAGTTCATTCAGAAAAACAAAAATATCAAAAAACTAAAAAACATGAAAAAAGTAAACGTAAAATTTAATTTACAATCTGTTCTTATAAAGTGTAATATATTAATTCCTCAAAAATAAATTACAAAAAATTAATATAAAAAATTAAAACTCAAAAAAGATTACTTTTTTTATTTTTCCTCTCTCTCTCTTATTTAAGAAAACTAATAAATTTATTTAAACTAATGAAATCTAAAAATGCTAAAAATCTTTATAAGTACTTTTTTTATAATATAACAGACTGTAATACCTATATAAAATTAAAGAATTTAGACCTTCCAGACAAATAAAGTATGCATTAGTAGATAGTTTTAAAATATAACATTTTTATAGATAGATTTAAAAATAATTATCTGTTTGTTCATTATTTAAAAGTAATAGTTTTAGTTAATAATATATATTTAATATATCATTATAATATATCATTATAATGTATTGTAATATAATAATTATATATATCAAATAATTCAACTCGTTTCAAATCTAGAACGAAAATATTTCGTTTTAAAATAATTTTCGATTCAGTTTTTATTCCGTTCGAAAATTTAAAATTATCGTTTTTATTTTGTTCTCGTTCTTAAAATAAATTTCGTTTTAGTTTTCGTTTTCGTAAACGAAAGGCTTTTTTTTTCGTTCTCGTTTTCGTTCTCGTGTACGAAAATATCACTGGTTTGAATAGTATCTTTTTTGATTGGTCAATTT